GAGAGAGAGAGAGAGAGAGAGAGAGAGAGAGAGAGAGAGAGAGAGAGAGATATTTTTTTTTTGAGTTTGTGGTGTTTGTGCGTCCAAGAACGACTATGAAACCGGGGTTGGATGAAAGCAGAGGCTGAGGCGGGACAGGTGGCTAGCTGGATTTTCGATTAGTTTGCGGTTCGAAGGACGGTCGGGAAGACGGTGGGAACGAGAGCACTCAATGATGAAGAGCAAAGAGAGAGAGAGAGAGAGAGGGAGAGAGCGGGAGAGAGGGAGACAAGGTGGAACAGACACGCACAAAAACATACAAATGAAGCTCTGATGGCTACACACAGGCTGTTGTACAACAGAGGCGAGGGGCTAGAACAAGCAACGGGCGCGTGTCAACTCAGAGACGCTTCTTGTTGCTTCCAGTAGTGGCTTCTTGTCGGGTGTCAAAAACGTGGTCGCGAGGATAGGCTGCCGAGCTCTCGGACACGTCTTTGATCTTGCCCTTGGCCGAATAACGGTAGAGCATCACAAAGAACATGGTATACCTGGATGTGGGGTCCAGCATCACAGGCGTGAGGCCTTGTCGCACCCAAATCCATGCGCGCAAGCGTGCATGCGCGCCCAGCTTCAAATGCAGACGTACCAGTAGAGGTGGAGGCCAAGAAGCGATGACAGAAGCACACCAAAGCCCAGGCGGGTGCCGAAAGATGCTGGGGCCTCGGTAAACACAGAGGCCACGAGCTGTTTGCCACGGCCCACGCAGGTGTAGGACAGTAAGTGCGAGAGGCCTTTCTTCTGTGATGCCAGCGGGGCCCCGACCAACCTTGGTGAAAAGGAAGAGGCGAAAGTAGCCCCAAGAGGCGAGCACCCCGATGTACATGACAAGAGTCGAAGGTAGGTGTTTGGTAGCGATTGCGGCTATACAGTAGGGCCGGGGAGCGACACATTGTGAGACCCTTGAGGAGAACATCAGGTCAATGCCGAGTATTCGTTCGGCGAGCCAGGGGCAGGGAACACACAGGAAGAGAGGCACAGACACAGCCACAGACACGCGCGCACACAGCCACACAGCCACACAGACACACACAGCCACAGTCACAGCCACAGTCACAGCCACAGTCACAGCCACAGTCACAGCCACAGACACAGACACAGTCACAGCCACAGACGCAGACA